ATGACCTTCTATTTTTGTCATCAGTTTGGACACTTACAACGAAACTGTCCTGATTTAACACGCCCTTAGAACAGCCACTGTTAATACAGATCCTTTCACAAGAAAGAGTCGGGTTCAGGGGCGGAACCCTGACTCATGCCACACCAAACCGACTAACTTTAAAGACAATTTCAAACGACGATAACAATCCACCTGTTTTGTGGACAACCCGTTGAAAACATGTGAAGAATTATTATGGTTTTTGATATGGCGAATCTAGTTGTGTATTTTTAATTGTTTGGCCCCGTTTTCAAATTGGTTTACATTAAGGTCTAAAGGGTCCAAATTCAAACTTTGTTAGATTTCACCAAAAATTGAAACTTGGGGTTCTTTGGTATGCTCAATCTAACCGTGTATTAAGAGTTTTGATTTTGGACCCGGTTCAAATTGGTCTACAGGGTCCAAAATTAAATTCACGGGGTTGTTTGATATGCCAAATCTAAACATGTATCTAATTTTTTTTTTAAATTTTGGTTCAGTTTTCAACTATTCGGGGTTCGACCTCTATGGTCGTATCAAGCTGTGCCCTGCATGCATTTTTTTATAGCTTATTCTCCTTGTGTTATTTTTTTCACCCATGTTCCAAGTCAGTAGTCCATATATGGATTGCTTGTTTTTTATATGGATTGCTTGTTTTTTGTCCGCTGTCTGCTTTAACATAAATCAGGCTACTTTCTTTAATGAACTGTTTTGAATTTGTCATGACGATATTTGTGTTTTTTTGCTCATTGTTGAAACAACTGCTCCAACAGAGTTATGAGTAGGAAAGATTAAAAATGACACTCCGTAAATTTTATGGACACCATCACGAATTGGTTAATCTATACGATGTGTCTGTGTCTAAGATTTAGATTGTGGTTAAACATCTATGTCGCCTGCCTGCTAAGTACCAAACGTGACCTATTCCCGGATATGAATGTTATACCGAGAATGAATTTACATTGCTATACGACATGTCTCGGTATTTTGTACATCCAACACTCATGTATTTATTTTTGATGTTTTTGTTATGGTTTCGGTTGAATAATGTGTTTTGTCGTATCGTTTGTTGTCCAAATAATTATAAAATTGCCTTTCAATACCATCATTGTCATATTCCCGAATATGACTGTTATACTGAATGTGAATTTGCATTGCTGTGCGGCGTGTCTCGGTGTTTTGTACATCCAACATTTATGGATTTATTTTTGATGTTTCTGTTATGGTTTCGGTTAGATAATATGTTATGTCTTATCGTTTGTAGTCCAAATAATTATGAAATTGCCTTTCCATACCATCATTGTCATGAAAATGTTTGGACGAATATTGTGAAAATAATTGTATAAAGTTCGAGATTGGATGTTAGTTACGTAAGCGCGTCACTGTTTTTGATATCCTGTGGTGTTTGTCGTTGATGGAATATGTTCGTTGTTGTTCTGCGGTTTGCATGTTGTGTCGAATTTTATATTATTTGTCTGTGCGTTTCTCTGTTATGAATGTTCTTGCGTGTGTTGGGTGCTGTATTTCTGTCACGTAGTGTTTAAGCGATATTTTTTAACATTGTCATAAAATGGGAGGTTTGGCATGCCATTAAACCAGGTTGAACCAACCATGTTCTCCTAAAATGTCCTGTACCAAGTCAGGAATATGGCAGTTGTTATCAAATAGTTCGTTTCTATGTGTGTTGGCGTTTGTTTTTGTTGCACTTCGGTGTTCCTGTTGTTCCTTTGTTTTCCTCTTATAGTTGATGTGTTTCCCTCGGTTTTGGTTTGTAACCCGGATTTGTTTTCTCTCAATCGATTTATGACTTTTGAACACCGGTATACTACTGTTGTTTTTTATTGAAAGGACTCAGTGAACTTTATCTGTTTACATCCTGGTCCATTGTTCTATGATGGATAATTGCTCACATCCACTTCATTTGAATTTTGGTGGATAGTTGTCTCATTGGCAATTATACCATATCTTCTTATTTTATATCATTTGGAATCACAACACATCCCCTTTTATTAATGTTATATAGAAGCCAAAGTAAACCTTTGACTTTAAGTTCCACCATATATTTCGCCTTCCAATGATTAATTCAGACTTCGATGACTATTTTTATTTGTATTAATCAAATGGAACTTTAATATTAACGGTACCAATTTTACTGCACCAGATGCTCATTTCGACAGTTAATGTCTCTTCAGTGATGACCGAAGCCGACATTTTAAAACCAAAGCTTCATAAAAACGTTGAATGAACTATACTAAAAATAGTTAGGTACTCTAAAGCTGATGAATTACACCTAGAACCTAGAAATTATGTATGAGGGTTCAGACTGATAATTTCGACAAAACATACTTTATGACTGTCACCGTAAGAATGCTCGATTCCATTGTAAATACATTTCAGGAGTAACTACAATCGGGATATTAAATTTTCGTATTCAACAGATTGCATTTGTGTTAAGGATTTTCCGATGAAAAAGTACAGCTGTATGGAAAAAAAGATTTTAAGGCTAAAGATAATTCATCTCTGCAGGTATCCTTATGCTTTGTTTGTGTATAAAGACATACATTGTGACACTGCCGTAAGCGACTTATTATCGGCTGTATACTTGCTTGAGTTAGAAGACGGGTGCCACGTGTTGAGCAGGAACTGCTAACCTTTCCGGATTACGTGAGTTCTCCCTTATTTTTGATGGAGATCGTGTTACTTAGTCAATTGTTTTTTATGTGATGTTTTGTTGTTGTGTTCGTGCTTTTGTTGTTTTTATTTTTGGCAATAGTCTTGTCTGTTGTTATTAAACTTATGATTTTTTATTTTTTTTTGGTTTAAAAGCGAATCCTTCACATATTCATGTTATTAAATGTTTGAATGGCTTAAAAACAATGTAACATACAATATATAATTTATTTAGATAACCTACAATATATTATTTATTTTGAAAACCTACAATATATTATTTATTTTGCTATATAATATATATTTACACACAGTCCTCTAACTGTACATGTAACAATCGAAATGATCACATAAATAAAAAATGGTATGTTGTTACAAGAATTCCTTTCACTTACAACACAGAAAAAACCTGCAACAGAATATAAATAGGGAAGAACAAATGTACTAAATGTCTACAGGAACTTCTAACCCGATCGGAGCACACGAGTTCACCCCCGAGGAGGTTTAGTCTATATTTTTAAGTAATGTTTTAAGAACTTGTTCTTCCTCTTTTTATTTATTGCCATGGATTTGTCAGTTTTCTTCGACATGAGATTTGAGTGTTAACTTTGTGTTCCCCACCTCGGGTTTTTGCAAAGTGTATTGATACACAGTAACCATGTACAAAAACTGAGTTTCTACTACCATTGCACATTATCATCATAGGAAAACAGACAACTGACTGTTCTTTTTCTCAACGACACTTTCGAATAATGAAGGTGTGTTGAGTATGTTGACTCAAATTTTTAAATGTATCTAATACTCTAATATGTGACGTTTACATTTTCTGACGTCAGACAGGCGAAGCAATGAATGTGGTTTTTAATTTGAGAGATGCTTTTGTTCTTTTTTGTAAATAATTGTTTGTTTTGATATTGTAACACAGTGATGACTGCTGTACCCATATTTTGACTATTTTATTTATAATGTCTGTTTTGTTCACGCATCGTTGTAAATATAACGGAATTTGATAAGACTGTCGTACAAGTGAGAGGTTTAGCGCTATAAAACCAGGTTCAATCCACCATTTTCTACATTTGAAAATGCCTGTACCAAGTCAGGAATATGACAGTTGTTGTCCATTCGTTTGATGTGTTTTGTCATTTGATTTTGCCATGTGATTAGGGACTTTCCGATTGAATTTTCCTCGGAGTTCAGTATTTTTGTGATTTTACTTTATACTCCAGTATGACTGAGAATGTTCTAATACATGAATGGGGTGTTACTTTTTATTTCACCGGCTCACAAACATTGTTTTGAATTTACCACCATCTAATAATGTTTCATGCGTACAAAACACACGTTTTCCAGTAAATATATTCAACCATCAAAGTCATCAAGTCGCCCATTGACAAAAGCAGTAGTAAGGCTACAATACTTCATAAAGAATATCAATAAGTAAAATTAGTAAAGCTACAATACTTTATAAAGAATATCAGTAAGTAAAATTAGTAATGTTACAATACTTCATAAAGAATATCAGTAAGTATAATTAGTAAGGCTACACTACTTTATAAAGGATATCAATAAGTAAAATTAGTAAGGCTACACTACTTTATAAAGAATATCAGCAGTCAGGGGCGTTACTTAAACAAGTTATTTTTTTAAGTTACTTATATAAGTAATTTTTGTTTTTAAAAATAATAAAATTACTTAATAGAGTTATTTTAAATTTCAATAGAAGCATAGACTAAATGTAGTTTTCATGAATTTTTACATCATTTTATATCATAAAATAAAGAATTTATTAGATTTGAGAGGAGTATAGAGATAAAGGGTTACTTTAAAAATAATGACAAAAATATTACTTGAATAAGTTATTTTATACTTTTTTGAAAAAAATAGTAATAACACTTATTGAAGGAACATATGTAATTGATTTTGGTTACAAGTTATAAATAACTTCAAGTCTTAATTAATTCACAAGTATCTATCTATTTATATCAGTCTACCTTCAAGATTTTGGAGGAAAATGATAATTTAATAGTCCCATGAGACCAATCTTTGACCCAGAAGCGTCAGTATGAAAGATAAGTGCATCAGAAAGTTAATTAGTGTTTCAGAAGGATTAGATTTTATATTTCATGGGAAAAATAACCAGATGACTGTGAAAATTTGTTAAAGCTACTAAAATCTGTATAATTGGACACCTATAAAAATAATATTCAGAAAAATTACTTATATAAGTAATATTTAAAATAGCCTCGTTTTCAACATTACTTGTATAGGTAATTTTAATTGTTACTTATTTAAGTAATGCCCCTGACTGATCAGTAAGTAAAATTAGTAAGGCTTAATTACTTTATAAGGAATATCAGTAAGTAAAATTAATAAGGCTATAATACTTCATAAAGAATATCAGTAAGTAAAATCTATCATAAATCAATCAAAAGATAATAAATTCAAATTATCATTACAGATATATAGTAAAAAATGTACAGAGTAGACATATGCTACTACTACAAAAAAAAAAACCAAAAAAAAAACCAGCAAAATAAAAAACAGCATTTGCTTTTTTAAATACATATTGTTTTAAATCTATAGACATGATGTAAGTACACAAGGTTTCGAAAAATACACACAGTATTATAACAATAACAAAAACAAATACCTCCAAAAGTAATCTTTACTAGATGGATTTAACAAGACCATACAAAAGAATTCAATGACGTAATCATAGGACTTCAAAGAGAATAGAGCATTTGTATGGACATTCAAGGTTATACACTCTACACAAGCAAGATAAATATCTTTCACAAAAGCAACTAATGGCAATTGGTTCTAAAAATAGAAGATTCCGTAAAACTACCAGTATACCAGTCTACTATTATGCTAGCAAAGGAACAACAATAACGCTTGTCACTAAAACAAAAATGGCTGTTAATTTGGAGAACTTGATTTTATCGCGGTATCTAAGTTTTTTTCTGTAGTTAACTGCTGTGTGTCTTGTTGTTGCAAGCGTAAAGTATGACCTTTGTGAACTTTAGTTTTTGATTGCACATTTGCTACCGTCAATTGACAGAAATGAAAATTGATGAATTATATTTATAAACACAATACATAATGTTTGCCTTATGGCTTATACAACTATGAAACTTAACAACAACAATAAAAAAGCTATATGATAAACCTCTGGAAATGCATATTTGATTGTAATTAGATAAATAAACACTTGTTTCTTTTTATACAGCTGTAAGAAATCATTTAAAAAAAAATAATAAAAACTTGAATTGACCATCTGAGGTCATTATTGACATAACAAGTTAGGACAAGAATATGTAATAACATCAAAAGGCGTCAGAAGCTCTTTACTTGATTAAACTTTATCAGGAACGATCAAAACAAAAAATAAAATTGTCAACCAAGAGTGTACAAGTGTAACAGATCAATTTAAGATTTAAGGGCTCTGTGACAAAAAAGAATAGACAATTAATAGTTAAATCCATCTCAGGTCAACTTTGTTTGGTGGAGATTGAACTTTAGTTTTTAAATTATTCCTAAATTTATCAAAAGATGATATATAATAAAGCACGTTCTTCAGCGGAATTTCAACATTCGTCAGAATCCACTTGAAGGTTTCCTAACTGCTGCGGTGCAGGCAGCAATGCCTGATAAGGATGCGAATAACCAAATCTTGATAGCCTTATCCCATTTGACGATGATTCCATTTATGTCCCAAAACGATGATACAGAAAGCGATGAGTAATACAATGTTGAATCCATGCAAATCAAGAAAGATAACTACTGTATTTATTTTACCTACAAAACAATAAAAATATGATGTTAAGCAATTTGAAATTAATATCTTTCTTTGCTACGTTTGATGTAATATTCACGGCGTCAAATAGATCATGTTCAGTATCCAATCAAATCTTTAACTGAAACTTTTCATCATACTTATTATTGACTATTAAAAAATGGATTGATAATCTGCAAATTCTATTTAGATATAGTCGATATAGTCTAGAAAGTCTATTTTCATTTTCTCGACTCTACTGTAAATATTCTTCAAATTCAAAAGAAGAAATGTTTCAATGTGTTTCTTACAAGTCTGTAGTCGATAAAACATTTAAAAGCAAGGAGACAGATCGGATTTCATTAAGTTTAGACAATAAGTAATTGATACAGCCGGAGTACTGCAATAAATGCACTCCATATAAGAACACTATCTGCACAAAAGATGTGATGCATGCAATAACAGTTATAAGCCAGATGATACCAAAGGGACATTTAAACTCATAAGACGAATACAAGCTGCAATGTCATGACAAAACAAACCACAAAAAAACGAATAACAATGAAAATTGCAGACAAATAAAAGCTTACAAAACATTACAGGAAAATTTAAAGATTAAGCAACCTTAACCCGACTAAAAACCTGGGGTGATCTCAATAAATAAATCATTATAGGAAATTTTGCTTCTGATGTATTGTAACCACAGGTTCTACTGCAACGTAACTATATAGAAATGGAAAGTTCTCCGCCGCCGCCGGCGGATAGTAATTTCTTTGTCTCGCCAAAAAAAAAAAAAAAAAAAAAAAAAATCGAACCAGTTAGCAAAACTAATAAATCATGTGAAAATTATTTGTAATTATTTTTAATCGTTCAGCAGATGTAAACAACGACATACTCGAGTTTCATCTGACAACGCGATACGACAAACTTGTTTTCATCTTTAACTATAAAAAGCATTTTACGGGTAATGATTATTAGAAAGCTGTTAAGGTAGATAGATGTTTCAAATAAAAACGATAGAAATTCTGTTTTATTTGCAAACATGTACTTTGTATCGTGATATTTCCAAAAATGGATGTAAAAGATTTGATCACATATTATTTTTTCAAGCTAGAAGGTTGTGCAAAATTTGCAAAGTTAAGAAAACCACATTTGTGTGAATCGAAAGAAAACTGAATGAGGCAATGTTTAAGACAAAAACAATTGAAGCAGCTTTTAGGAAATAAAGGATCAATATGGGTCACTCGAGTAACATTTTTGCTCAAAAACAATTATAGGTTCATTTATTCAGTAAGTTGACGTATTTAAATTATATATAATTTGTAGGGCTACATCAAAAAAAAATATGAAGAAACAGATCGAAAAGATAACATAAATGACGCAGTTTGATTTTTTTTTTACAAATTAATTACATCCATGCAGGCCGTTTCTATATTTATACAATTTCAAGAAATCTTTTCAAGCTAATACGATATTTTATAAAGTATATAGGACTTATAGTATTCTTTATGAGTATAGATTATTATATGGCATTGTTCCTTCATACCAGACCTCTTATCGGCCCTAGGCCATGATATCAGCGCAAAATTCGAAAGACTCGAGGTTGATATCACGACCGAGGGCCACTGAAGGGTATGACATGAAAAATGACATGTTATGATCTTTTGATCACATAATTCAGCAGAAGAACAGACTCTTAAGAACTATGCCTAAAACTTTAAAAAAAAAGCATTGATTGGTTCATGTGTTTTGCATTAATTTTTCATAATGTATTTTCCTGTTTCCAAATATTTGTTTTTTAACCTCCTTTGTTATGTTTTTAACTGAATCCATTTATCCATTTATGTCCCAAAACGATGATACAGAAAGCGATGAGTAATACAATGTTGAATCCATGCAAATCAAGAAAGATAACTACTGTATTTATTTTACCTACAAAACAATAAAAATATGATGTTAAGCAATTTGAAATTAATATCTTTCTTTGCTACGTTTGATGTAATATTCACGGCGTCAAATAGATCATGTTCAGTATCCAATCAAATCTTTAACTGAAACTTTTCATCATACTTATTATTGACTATTAAAAAATGGATTGATAATCTGCAAATTCTATTTAGATATAGTCGATATAGTCTAGAAAGTCTATTTTCATTTTCTCGACTCTACTGTAAATATTCTTCAAATTCAAAAGAAGAAATGTTTCAATGTGTTTCTTACAAGTCTGTAGTCGATAAAACATTTAAAAGCAAGGAGACAGATCGGATTTCAGTAAGTTTAGACAATAAGTAATTGATACAGCCGGAGTACTGCAATAAATGCACTCCATATAAGAACACTATCTGCACAAAAGATGTGATGCATGCAATAACAGTTATAAGCCAGATGATACCAAAGGGACATTTAAACTCATAAGACGAATACAAGCTGCAATGTCATGACAAAACAAACCACAAAAAAACGAATAACAATGAAAATTGCAGACAAATAAAAGCTTACAAAACATTACAGGAAAATTTAAAGATTAAGCAACCTTAACCCGACTAAAAACCTGGGGTGATCTCAATAAATAAATCATTATAGGAAATTTTGCTTCTGATGTATTGTAACCACAGGTTCTACTGCAACGTAACTATATAGAAATGGAAAGTTCTCCGCCGCCGCCGGCGGATAGTAATTTCTTTGTCTCGCCAAAAAAAAAAAAAAAAAAAAAAAAATCGAACCAGTTAGCAAAACTAATAAATCATGTGAAAATTATTTGTAATTATTTTTAATCGTTCAGCAGATGTAAACAACGACATACTCGAGTTTCATCTGACAACGCGATACGACAAACTTGTTTTCATCTTTAACTATAAAAAGCATTTTACGGGTAATGATTATTAGAAAGCTGTTAAGGTAGATAGATGTTTCAAATAAAAACGATAGAAATTCTGTTTTATTTGCAAACATGTACTTTGTATCGTGATATTTCCAAAAATGGATGTAAAAGATTTGATCACATATTATTTTTTCAAGCTAGAAGGTTGTGCAAAATTTGCAAAGTTAAGAAAACCACATTTGTGTGAATCGAAAGAAAACTGAATGAGGCAATGTTTAAGACAAAAACAATTGAAGCAGCTTTTAGGAAATAAAGGATCAATATGGGTCACTCGAGTAACATTTTTGCTCAAAAACAATTATAGGTTCATTTATTCAGTAAGTTGACGTATTTAAATTATATATAATTTGTAGGGCTACATCAAAAAAAAATATGAAGAAACAGATCGAAAAGATAACATAAATGACGCAGTTTGATTTTTTTTTTACAAATTAATTACATCCATGCAGGCCGTTTCTATATTTATACAATTTCAAGAAATCTTTTCAAGCTAATACGATATTTTATAAAGTATATAGGACTTATAGTATTCTTTATGAGTATAGATTATTATATGGCATTGTTCCTTCATACCAGACCTCTTATCGGCCCTAGGCCATGATATCAGCGCAAAATTCGAAAGACTCGAGGTTGATATCACGACCGAGGGCCACTGAAGGGTATGACATGAAAAATGACATGTTATGATCTTTTGATCACATAATTCAGCAGAAGAACAGACTCTTAAGAACTATGCCTAAAACTTTAAAAAAAAAGCATTGATTGGTTCATGTGTTTTGCATTAATTTTTCATAATGTATTTTCCTGTTTCCAAATATTTGTTTTTTAACCTCCTTTGTTATGTTTTTAACTGAATCCATTTATCCATTTATGTCCCAAAACGATGATACAGAAAGCGATGAGTAATACAATGTTGAATCCATGCAAATCAAGAAAGATAACTACTGTATTTATTTTACCTACAAAACAATAAAAATATGATGTTAAGCAATTTGAAATTAATATCTTTCTTTGCTACGTTTGATGTAATATTCACGGCGTCAAATAGATCATGTTCAGTATCCAATCAAATCTTTAACTGAAACTTTTCATCATACTTATTATTGACTATTAAAAAATGGATTGATAATCTGCAAATTCTATTTAGATATAGTCGATATAGTCTAGAAAGTCTATTTTCATTTTCTCGACTCTACTGTAAATATTCTTCAAATTCAAAAGAAGAAATGTTTCAATGTGTTTCTTACAAGTCTGTAGTCGATAAAACATTTAAAAGCAAGGAGACAGATCGGATTTCAGTAAGTTTAGACAATAAGTAATTGATACAGCCGGAGTACTGCAATAAATGCACTCCATATAAGAACACTATCTGCACAAAAGATGTGATGCATGCAATAACAGTTATAAGCCAGATGATACCAAAGGGACATTTAAACTCATAAGACGAATACAAGCTGCAATGTCATGACAAAACAAACCACAAAAAAACGAATAACAATGAAAATTGCAGACAAATAAAAGCTTACAAAACATTACAGGAAAATTTAAAGATTAAGCAACCTTAACCCGACTAAAAACCTGGGGTGATCTCAATAAATAAATCATTATAGGAAATTTTGCTTCTGATGTATTGTAACCACAGGTTCTACTGCAACGTAACTATATAGAAATGGAAAGTTCTCCGCCGCCGCCGGCGGATAGTAATTTCTTTGTCTCGCCAAAAAAAAAAAAAAAAAAAAAAAAATCGAACCAGTTAGCAAAACTAATAAATCATGTGAAAATTATTTGTAATTATTTTTAATCGTTCAGCAGATGTAAACAACGACATACTCGAGTTTCATCTGACAACGCGATACGACAAACTTGTTTTCATCTTTAACTATAAAAAGCATTTTACGGGTAATGATTATTAGAAAGCTGTTAAGGTAGATAGATGTTTCAAATAAAAACGATAGAAATTCTGTTTTATTTGCAAACATGTACTTTGTATCGTGATATTTCCAAAAATGGATGTAAAAGATTTGATCACATATTATTTTTTCAAGCTAGAAGGTTGTGCAAAATTTGCAAAGTTAAGAAAACCACATTTGTGTGAATCGAAAGAAAACTGAATGAGGCAATGTTTAAGACAAAAACAATTGA